ACCTGTAATACATCCATAGAACTCGACCCTCATAGAAATATGAGAATACCATGTCACTGGATGGATGCGGAAGTAACGGCCGTTCAGAGGACTCTGGAATTTGTTGGTAACTGGAATAAACTGATCGTAGTTGCCTTGGAAGATCTAAACAAAGTAAGTAGAACCAATATCATCATGCATTTACTCACTATCTCGCTTCTGATTGGCCGATCGAGAGCCCTCAGCCAATCCCTGATATCAAGTTAATTCGACATCATAAATGTATTGTCTATAGATTTTTCTCCAGTTAATACATTTATCAAATGTATTAATTCTTCATTATCATTTGACAAAAACTATTATTTGTACAAAAAAATGATGTATTCTTTTTTATCGAACTAAATATTTTTGAATTCTAATGAAAAAAAAAAAAAATTAAACAAACATTTTGCTAATTTACAATCTCAAATTCCCTATTATTTTGTTCGCCTCGTCAAGTCTCTTGTCGAAGTTAGATGGATGCGCAACCTTGATTAAAATGCCATCATACACTTTGTTAACCAATTTAAATTTTCGCGCAAGCCAATAGTTTACATTGCTATGTACCTTGGTTCGACCCTGCTCCTTATAAGTCCTAAACGACTGTCCATTTCTGCTGTACGACACATAGTAGCTCTTAACCCACTGGACAGCATTTTGTCTTCCTTGCGTGACAACACGAGTAACCCTAGTCGATGTACCAAAGTCTACCTGTAGATAAGAACATACATATTTTGCTTATTATCATCATCAATACTAAAGGTTAATGTTAACGGAATGATACAATAGAACCGGAATTATGAAGCAAGCTAATTGTAATAACTACAAGAAAGTTAACCTAGATAGATAGCTATTGAACTATACAAACAATCATAGTAAAAGATCTCTACGTTTTGGCATTTTGTGAAGATCATTCATCAAGAACGTTTGAAAGTCAAATTTACATATTTTTACAATATAAGGAAGTAGTTTCGTCTAATTTGCAAAAACACTTCGAGCATGCGCAGACGTTAACGTTTTTCTTCAGACGTGTCGACCTTCTAGATAATTTTTTTTACCTGTAACCATTGACTACGGTCATTTTTGCGTGCGCACCAGGCGTAGGGATTATGCAGCCTGGCGTACCAGGGTCCGCAGTGATAACTGTGGTAGGACGATGCTCGGGTTCTTTGGTTTGCTACTTTGAGGCTCTGAAGACCAAGAGGCATGTCGCAACGATCTGTTTGGGAAATAGTCTTTGGGTTAGAAGATGTTACACATATGGAATGGTAAAAACACGACAATTTTTCCCCTTTGTACTTAACTTGAAGTAAAACATTTGCTATTAAAGAGTTTTAGATTGGGCAGAATTTTTTAATGGTCAACTGACGTTTCACGTTTGCCGTAAACGAGAATCTTAAACTCTATTCTCTCTTTGACGGCAAAAATGAAATGTCATGAGTTGACCATTAAAAATTCTTTAATATTAGTGAAAAGGGATCGCAAAAATTTCCAAGTGGTAGATAAACAAAAGAACACTTGTCTTTGGTGTGAAGGTTTGCAAAAGGTAAGGTAAAATGTAGAGAAACGATAAAAACGTGGTCACGTTTGCCGTTTGCGGAAGGGAAAACGGGAATCTTAATCTGCCTATTGATTGAAGAAAAAAAACGTAAATAGAAATACCCCTATTGACTTCAGTAAATTTACTAATATTTATTACGATGCTACAAGTAAGGCTAAAAACTTACTCCAGGGACATCCGTATAACTCCATTCTGACTGCAATCTCAGAGTACCATCCTCTAGGGATCAGACGTACATACCGACCATATATGGCTGGATCAAAGGAATCGGTCCATACAGACTTCTGGTCAACATTGGCATATATGGTCTGAAACAGAGAACCGTTAGTCAGTCATTCATCCAGTCCAGCCAAGGGCAGATCTAGGAATCCTTGAGAGGAGGGTAGCCTCTTTTTGCAGGGTTTTTAGGACTGCCCCAAAGGCACATGCAAAGGAAGATAGAGGGTCCAAACGCTTCATGCAAAATTTACTTCAAACCTGTGGCAAAACTAATCTTTAAATTTGAAATTTCTGGATGATCTGTCCCTGAGAAAGAAAATGTCTAGTTATACCTTGGTGGTGTCCTTCATTGTCTTTACAATACTGAAGAAGACTCCATCCGTTCCATACTTGATCCAGAAASTAGTGATCCATTTTCTAGTATCAGGTCGTCCTTGTACAGCAACACCAGTAATTTTCATGGTTCTTCCAAGATCTACCTGAAGCCACTGCGCATGGTTATTATGCTTGGGCATCCAAACACCCAGGAACCTGCCACGTCGATGATTGTGTAGTCTTGCCAAGAATGAAGAAAACTGGCTGCTTTTTATTGATGAGGCTGTTAGCTGGTTGTTGCGGATTTTGTTATTTTGCAAGCCAACRGGAGACGCACACCGCTTCTCTGTGCAAGGGAAGAAAATTATGCAGATTATGTGACTGAGAAACAAGTTGCTTCCAATCAACACGCTTTGGGCGCGCGGTCAGAAAACAACCTCTAAGCTGATCTAAGTTAAGGCATGGCTATCTCACAGATTAAACCCTGAAACAACATCTGGGCTGATCCATAAGTTTCAGCACGGCTAACTCACAGATCAAACACTGTAACAACCTCTGAGCTGATCTAAGTTAAGGCATGGCTAACACAGATTAAACCCTGAAACAACATCTGGGCTGATCTATAAGTTACAGAACGGCTAACTCACAGACCGACTTGTACGGAAATTCGCGTGTTAGGTTTTGCGCAGGGTAGAAAACCGGAACCCGGGGTAAAAACCCTCGTAAAATCGAACTTTTTGGGTAAGAGCAATTTTGACTGAGAAGAATCCATAGAACAAAGAAATTTGACACTGACAAATCTTGCTTACCTTTGCTTCTGCATCCATACAGTTCAACTCTCATTGATACGTAGCTATTCCAGGTCTTTGGTCTGATGCGAATATAGCGAGCTTTGATTGGTGGAGAGATTCGCCGCGAAACGGTGTGATAGATATCGTAGTTACCACGGAATACCTGAAATAACACCACAMGAAAACCTTTTACCTTTGGGAAAAGTGCGTTTTAAAGGCCATTTATGTCTTTAGTTGGTAAGAGAATTCATGCGATCTCCGACAATTTATACGAACACAAACACTGGTATTAGACATTTCGAGGTTAAAGAAAAAACTGGATCGAAATGGCATTGCATTGCATTGTGGGGCTGTTATAGGGGGCATATATTGCCAAGATGGCGGCTATTTTGTTTCCCAAAACAATCCCACAATGCACTGCAATGCTAACTCGGTCCAGCTTTTTCCTCAACTTTGGAATGGGAAATGGCAAGCACGTCCAAAAYTTAAAACATACAGGCGTTGGAATTAAGTTTTATCCGCCGTCAATCATCTTATCCCTTTTTCTCCAGCTTAATTAGGGCGCCGTAAGTAAGGAGGTAAACGCTACTTTTGGGGGTAAATGCTCTATGATGGGTGAACATGAAATGTTTTTTGACTTCCTCTTTTTACCTTTTAAAGTAAAAAAGCTCAGATTTCGGTAATTTGTAAACRAAAATAAATAATGTGGAATTTGTGGCAAAACATTGATTTGCACAATTCAATTTTTAATCGCTAAGAAAAGTTTCCGTTTACTAGATACATAAGGCCAAATATGAAATATTTAAGGAATATAAAAAGTCTGCTTAAATCTCTGTACTGTGATATAAAACTCGAGGCGTACCCAAATGTTTCTCTTGCTTCTCGAGTGCTCTACAGCTCAAAGAGTGTTTATATCRCAGTACAGAGACATAAGCAGCCGATTGCTTTCATAAAATATTTTTGAACGAGTTTTCGAGAGCGTGTCTCTGTCCTCCGATATAAACAMGGTAGCCAGCCAMTCAGCGCGGCRTTATGTCTCAARTATTYTATAATTATTAATATAGATGCATGAGGACAAATAAAAATTTCCTGCAACAGGAAGTAATAAAATTTCCAGTCAACCAAAGTGCTAATATATTAATATTAAAGGTATATAGTCAACTACACTCACCCTCAGTTTACCATACGACTTATAGTAATTGAATCTCTTGCCATTATTACTATACTGCAAGATGTAAGTCTTGACATATTGGTTTCCCGTGTTTCGYCCTTGAGTCGCTATACCTGTCACCTTAGCCATATCACCTAAGTCAATYTGTAAGTACTGATTGCTGTTGCGCAGACGAGCAACCCAGCCAGCGGTCCTACTGTTTCTGGCATACATGCCCAGTCTAGCGCGGTCTGGTCCGTGATTGTAGTTATAGCTTGTCGATGCTCGGATGTTTCCGGCAGGCAGTCGGCGATCTTGAAGACCCATTGGAAGGTAACACGAATCTGTTGCATGAACATAAGGCAATTTGTTTATTTTGTATTGATGGGTTGCAAGYATTCCCAAGAGATTCAAAAGACAAAAACATGGCGGCCATTGTGTTGCATTTAACAATRGATGTTAATGATAAATCTTTTGTTAAATGGCACCTTCATGGCCACGATGACGTAACGTGCAATCGAAGAATTGATCTAGGTTGATTCATTTTTTCATATAAATGGACAACTTTATCAATAGACTGCATGCAATATATTCGTGAAAACCGTTGCAAGAAATTGKACAAATTTACACAAATTAGTAGGATCTGATAAGTTCAGTAACCGTAAACCTAAGAAACTTTGCACTTATTTGTGCAATTTTGTTAGCTAGCTTTATAATGGATATATGGTATGCACTCTACTGCTTATCAACTACAAAGGCTATAGGGAGCGGTTGTGAAGCACAGATTAGTGATAATAAAAGTCCAAAATGCTTCACAACTTATACGTTTTCCAACTAAAGTTTTTTTTTCAAACTTTCCGTAGCCATCACCCTTTCCGTGTTATTTTATTTTTGATTAGCTTCAACAACTAAATAAATAGCTAGTTATATATAACACTATTTGAAAAAGAACAAAAACAAAGCAATATAAGCCAGGATAACCGCAACAGCAGTAGTTAGCAGATTACACCGGGCCCGTAATATTATTATACCACCTCGCTGATAATTTAAACCATATTTTTATTGAAGGGTGGATAGCGCTGTCCGACGGATAAATCCTATCCAGTGGATAGATTTATTAGATAACAGCATCGACTTATCCACTGGATAAGGATTTATCCGTCGGAAAGCGCTATCCACCCTTCGTACGACCGTGCACAGATGGAGAAGTCCGCAAGCTGGATGGCATGGGCGGCGTAGTGGTTTGCCTCTCGTTTCTCACCACTGTGGTCCGGGTCGTGCCCCGGCTCAGATTGGATCATGTGAGTTGAGTTTGTTTGATACAAATTTGTGTTTGATTTGTTGTTCTCTCCCTGGCCACAAATGGTTTTCTCCGGTTCTCCAGTTTTCCTCCCTCCGTAAAAACCTTTATCTGAGTTGAGTGTTGTATATTGTTGGTGTTTATGGGTTTATGGAGGTATACTTGCAGTGGTGGTGCGTGTGAAGCGAATCTCACGGGAGAGCCCCCTTCAGGGAGTGATCAGGTTGTACTGTCATTTTGTCTAGACAATTTGCGAACAATTTCAAGAAGGTTTATGGTAGTGTACTTACTTATGTAGCACCCAAAGAACTCAACCCTCATGGAGATCCAGCTTCTCCATCGATACGGTTCTACCCGTATATACTGCGCTCTTATTGCAGGGTTAAACACGTTGTATTTGATGGTATTCCTGTCTCGATTGGCAAGAAAACGCTGAGGAAGGAAAAATAAAGAAATTAAAATATGATATGTAAAGATTCATAAATGTAATTAAATTAAAAAATAAATAAATAAAATTCTAAACATTTTTCTTTTTTAACCAGGGTCGCACTTAATAGATAGCATAGAGGTTAACCTCATAAAGTACACTAGTTTTATCTTAATGAAGTTATTTTTCCATTCTTATTTTTATTTTTACGTACAATGTTATATTTTTTGCATATATTTTTATGTTTGATTATTTCAACAATTCATGAGGTGGTCACCTTGCATGGGTCTCGTGTCCCGTTCGTGACTTTCCTTTTTGGGTAACTATTAGTTGTTTTTTTATACAATACATTGTAATATTAGTTTTCCCAAATAAAGCTGTGAAGAAAAAAAGCAGCAAGATGTAACTGTATGTTACCTTTTTTGAGTTGAATTCAGTATATTCTGAGAAGTACACCCCATCAACGCTGTGTCTAATGTAGAAATACGTGACCCACTGATCAGCATTGGCTCGTCCTTGAGTGGCAATCCTGACAATCTTGCTCGGTTTCCTGAAGTCTACCTGCAGCCATTGTTTATAGTTGTTTATAGCAGCACTCCATGAATACTTGTGGTTGAGTCTGCCTGCTTGTGGYGAGAGTTGATTGTTATAGTGCGATGAAGCTGTGATCATGTGACGATTGATGCGACCTGTCTGCATTCCCATTGGTTTATTGCACATTTGACCTTCAAGGATAAAGTAAAAGATAAGTGCATGTGTGGAAGACATAGGGAGAAAGAACGTACTGACTTATAGATCGCGCTCACATTGCGTCACAGCCGCCATAATAGTGTACCTTTGACAATAACTTTGTCATTAGCTTCTTTTGTTAGATACGCTAATATGGCTGCCATCTCTGTTGTCAGGCATGACGTGACAGCCGCCATATTGGTGTACCTTTGACAATAACTTTTGTCATTAGTTTGTTTTGTTAGGTTCAATCAATATGGCTGCTATTTCTATTGAAAACAAATTGAAAACATTCTATAGGACGAATATTGATATAGGTTTCTAACATGGTTCCGACTCTCCTCAGTTACCCTTGCTATGTCCCACAAGCTCAGCAAATTGCCGAGAGATTTTTAAAAAATTAAGCAAGACTCCGTGGCCCTCTGTAATACAAGTAATGAATTGAACTACTTACTGAGTCTACAGCCGTAGAACTCGACTCTCATAGAAATATGGCCATACCACTTCTGKGGATAAATACGAACATATCTCGCCTTGATGGAAGGCACCAAGCGRTTRATGTTGACATGGTAACGCTCCACGTTAGCTTGGAACATTCTCGTGGTCCTTCCAACCTTATAAGATGTGAACCGCACGCCATCGTTACTGTACCTCACAGTATACCACGTGACATACTGATTAGCATCGTAGCGACCTTGNATCCATTCATTTCGACGCTTATGACGTGCAATCCAAGCACCCCTGTAGTTGCCATGGTTGCGATCTTGAAGTCTGGAGCTCCACGGGCCGTAGTAATGGTTGTACATTGATGATGCAGAGAACATTGAGCGTCTTATTCTTTTGTCTTGGACACCGAGAGGTGTCTCACGGTTTCTTCTTTAGGTGTCTTCCTTCTGGATATATATACATTCAATTATAAAATCTGCAATCACTATTTCTTTTATTATATATCTGTACAATTATTGTTAATAGAATTTTGAATACTTGTTACTATATTTCCAGAAAAGGTAGATTGAATAAACTGATTGATATACACCGGGCCCGTAATATTATTATACCACCTGGATGATAATTTAAACCATTTTTTCATATTGACAAATGAAAAGTCAGGGCCCGATTGTATGAAGGGTGGATAGCGTTATCCGACGGATAAATCCTATCCAGTGGATAGATTTATTAGATCACAGCATCGACTTATCCACTGGATAAGGATTTATCCGTCGAAAAGCGCTATCCACCCTTCGTACGACCGTGCACAGATGGTGAAGTTCGCAAACTGAATGGCATGGGCGGCGTAGTGGTTTACCTCTCGCTTCTCACCACTGTGGTCCGAGTTCGAGCCATGGCTCAGACTGGATCATATGCGAGTTGTGTTTGTTTGATAAAAATTTGTGTTTGATGTGCTGTTCTCTCCTTTGAACGAAGGGTTTTCTCCGGATTCTCCGGTTTTCCTCCCTCTTTAAAAAACATTATCTGAGTTGAGTGTTGCATGTTGTGGGTTTTTATCGCTTTGATGGAGGTATACTTGCATTGGTTGTGCTTGTGGAGGAAATCTCACGGGAGAGCCCCCTACGGGTACTGATCAGGTTGTACTGTCATGTTGTCTAGACAATTTGCGAACATTTCAAGAAGGTTTATGGTAGTGTACTTACTTATGTAGCACCCAAAGAACTCAACCCTCATGGAGATCCAGCTTCTCCATCGATACGGTTCTACTCGTACATACCGCGCTCTTATTGCAGGGTTAAACATGTTGTATTTGATGGTATTCCTGTCTCGATTGGCAAGAAAACGCTGAGGAAGGAAAAATAAAGAAATTAAAATATGATATGTAAAGATTCATAAAT